GTGTGTTTTAAAGAACTATTTTATTTCATTTTTTAAAAAGAATTATTTTATTTAGCTTCTTTTTATTTATTTTATTTTATTTTATCAGAGAGAAAGAGAGAGGGGGAGAGGGAGAAAGAAGGAGAAAGGTGAGGAGAGGCCAAAAGAAAGAGAGAGAAGGAAAGTGAGAAGGCAAGCCACCAGGTCTGAGACTCAAACCATGGTCGGCCATGTGGGAATCCAGCACCCTTAACCACCATGCCACCTGCCGGCCGCAAGAATTATTTATTTCATTTTACTTGTTATTATTTTTAAAATCAGGTGTGATGGCTATGTCACTGGACTCCCATGTAGTTGAACACAGTTCAAGTCCCAGACCCGGTGGCTTAAACTCACACTGGGTGCATGTTTGTGTGTGCCCAAGATCCTGAGAGGAGAAGGGATTGCAGCATGGCCATCCTCCCCGGGCAAGTGATTTCCTGCTGTCTCTCTCCTTCTGACAAGTAAATGCACCCTATAGCAAAAACCATTCCAAAATAAAATAAAATAAAATAAAATCCAACCAGAGAGAGGCAGGGGGTGGGCGGGGAGGGGGAGAGAGAGAAAGAGAGAGAGAGAAAGGGAAAGTAAGTCCCACCAGGTTTGGGACTCAAACTGTGGTTGATCATGTGAGAGTTCAGTGCCTTTACCATCATACCACATGCTGGAACCCACGCTGTGTTTTTATAATATGTATTTTTCATGAACTTTTAAAGACTTCTTAAATATAACAATAAAACTCACACCGGGCACGTATGCGTGCGTGCCCAAGATCCCGGGAGAATGGAGGAAAAGGGATTGCAGCGTGACCATTCCCCCTGGGGGGTGATTTCTTGCTTTCCGTCTCTATGTCTCTCTCTCTGTCTTTCTGGCGAGCGCACGCGCCCTATAGTGAAAAAAAAAAAAAAAAAGAACACAGATCCCACATGAGTAATCAGAGTTCGCATCCCTGTCCTGTTGGCTTTAGAAAACACTCAATTCACAAGCATGCCTCAGATCCCGCTGGGATAGAGAACTGAAGTTTCACTGAGCTCCAGTGAAACCAAGCCCTATTGATGAGAGATGTGCTCGCACCTTCTCACGTATTACCTAGCAAAAAGAATAATATACTGGGTCATCAGAAAATTCATGGCCCATTTTTGATAGAAAAATACGCCATGACTTTTCCAACGATGCAGTAGATGGTTTGTTTATCGAATTGATAGATAGCATTAAAAATAATGAACACTGGAAAGTCAAAAGTATGGACCAAAAAGGGAATCAGGGGCCATCAGGTGGCATGGAGGTTAAGGGTGCTGGACCCCCACATGCCGACTGTGGTTTGAGTCCTAGACCTGGCGGTTTGCTTTCTCACATTCTCTTTCTTTCCTACTCTGTCCTTCTCTGGTCAAATTTAAATGAATAAATAAAGTTAAATAAAGTAATTCTTAAAAAAAAAAAAAAAGAAAAAAGAAAAAGTAATCAGCAGACTGGAATAATGTGCTTTCACCTCTGTGACTCAGGCTAAGGAACACCGTATTTCCCCTGCGAAGTATCTGTACGTGATGCCTCTTAGTAGGAGTAAGACATCTTGAAACCTTGCCCAAAACAACAGATCTGAAGACTTTCCCTTCTAAGCCAGAACTGGGTAAGGAGATAACACGTGAACTGTCATCTCTGAAGAACAAGAACACCAGGGACCTGATTTCCAATTTAGGATTCAGATGGTTAATTCCCCCAGGGTCCTCAGTCATGAAATGCTAACAAAATTGGGAAATGACATGCCACCAAGTCAACGTCTGCAAAATCCACCAATTGAAAGGAAAGAAAGAAACAACACAAATTCCTAAACACAGCCCTACAACTTCATCTCTTGGGGGGCCTCACAGTGTATTTCAGTATCATTTAGAAAGGGTTGATAGTGGGTATGCCGGTTGCCAATCGGCTATGGGAGCCACATATCACGCGACTGGCCAAGGCTTGAATCCTAGGCCTGGAGACTTGAAAAACACTCAGCACATATGCATACATGCCCCAAATCATGACAGGATGGAGAAATGGAAAAGGATTATGGGGGACCAGCAGTTAGCGTAATGGCTATGCCACTGGACTCCCACGTAGTTGACCGCGGTTCGAGTCCCAGACCCGGTGGCTTAAGCTCACACCGGGTGCGTGTGCGTTGGTGCCCAAGATCCTGAGAGGAGAATGGAGGAGAAGGAATTGCAGCATGACCATTCCCCCTGCAGGGTGATTTCTTGCTTTCTGTCTCTCTGTCTCTGTCTGTCTGGCAAGCGCACGTGCCCCATAGCAAAAAAACCTCTCCAAGAAAAAGGATTATGGCATGACCATTTCCCAATGAGAAGTGCATTCTCTCTGTGTGTGTGTGTCTCTCTCTGTCAAGTTCATGTACCCCTGACAATTAAAAACTAAATAATTGGGCTAGGCAGCAGCACAGTGGTTGAGGCAGCTAGATCGCACACAGCTATATGCAAGCTTCAAGGCTTGGACCCAATACTTGAAAAACAAAAAATGCATGTACATGTGGGCCCTAAACTCCAAAAGGAGGGAGAAGTGCAGAAGGTATTATGGTATGAGCAATCTCCATGTGGGTTGGTTTCTTACTCTGCTCTCCCACCCCCATATTTCTCCTGAACCTAGTGGTGAATTAAAAACATAATTTTTGAAAAGAGGCCCATAGGGGGAAAAGGATACAGGAAACCGCCCCACAAATCTATTTTCAAAGAACCTTATCAGGGTTCCTTCTCTTTAGAATTATTATAGCTTTAAAAGTGGAAAAAGAAATGAAACAAAAACCTTACAGTCATTTTGCAATAAAGCACACTTAAAATGTATTCAAACCCATGAACATACACAGTTATAAAATTTGAATTTATAATGAAATAAAGGATATTCAAGTGAACTTAAAATATATGCTAAATGGGGACCAGCAGATGGCGTAATGGTTATGTCATTGGACTCCCATGTAGTTGACCGAGGTTCAAGTCCTGGACCTGGTGGCTTAAACTCACACCGGGAACATGTGTGTGCATGCCCAAGATCCCAAGTGCAGAGTGGAGAAGGGACTGCAGCATGGATATCCCCCAGGAGGGTGATTTCTCGCTTTCTGTCTGTCTTTCTTGTGAGCACATGGGCCCTATAGCAAAAACTTCTAAAAAAAAAATTATGCTAAGTGGAATACAACAGCTAAAAAGGACAAATTATTGCACTTATGCTGTATGACCTACAATCGTGAATTTTTTTTTTTCTTTTGAGAGGCTTTTGCTATAGGGTTTGTGAACTTGCCGGAAAGACAGAGAGACAGAAAGCAAGAAATTACCCCCCGGGAGGATGACCACGCCACAATCCCTTCTCTTCCGTTCTCCTCTCGGGATATTGGTCACACACGTACATGCGCCCAGCATGAGTTTAAGCCACTGGGTCCGGGATTTGAACCGTGGTTGACTCCGTGGGAGTCCAGCGACATAGCCATTACACTACCTGCTGGTCCCACAATCGTGAAATTTATACAGGCAAAAAGTACAGACATAGTTGTCAGCATGGGGCACAGGGAACAGGAAGTGATTTTTGAATGTATATGAAGTTTTCATTTAAGATGGGAAAGTTCGGTAACTTGATGGTGAAATGGTTACATGATAATGTGAATTTACACTTTGTGCCAGAGAAGGGCACCATAAAAACTGTGGAAGCAGTAAATTTAATGTTATGCTTACTTTACCAAATTTACTGTAGGTTTATTTTACCATAATAGAGAGCACGTGTGTACGTGAGAGAGGGCCACTCTCGGCAGGGTCGTGTCACGCTGCAATCTCCTTTCTCTAGCCTTCCAGCTTGCCAGGATCTCAGGTACACACGCACACACCTGGCATGCTTTCAAGCCAACCCAGGGATGGCAGTTGGCCTTGGGGCTGGCTTCCAGCACTTCAGTTCAGTTTGCTAGTAGCTGTACCACCAGGCTAGGTCTATCATATATATACATATTTTTTTAAAGGAAAACTGAAAGAAATATACTTAATCCAGGACAATTACCATGGGACCCAATGATCTCACTCTTAAGTAAACACTCAGGAGAACTGAAAACAGGTACTCACAACATCATCCTTTTTTTTTTTTATAGAATTATTTTACTTAACTTTTATTTATTTATTTATTTATTTATTTATTTTTATTTATATTTTTTATTTGACCAGAGAGGGACAGAGAGAGAGAGAGAAAGTGAAAGTGAGATAGTGAGATAGCAAGCCAGCAGGTTCAGGACTCAAACTGCGAACGGCCATGTTTGGGAGTCCAGGGTCCTTAACCACTATGCAACCTGCTGGCCCCTCACATCTTTATTCTTGAATGTTCATATTAGCCCTATTCATAATAGCCAGAAGGTGAAAACAACCCAAATGGTCCTCACTAGATATTAAAATAGAACTTAAACATAGGAAAAAACATTATTCAGGCATAAAAAGGAATAAAGCTCTGATATATGCTACAACATTGATGAACCTTAAAAACATGTGAAGTGAGAGATGTCAAGACCTCCAGAGACACAGAAAACAGATTAGTTACTGGGAACAGTGGGGAAAGAAAATAAGGAATGACGAAAATACTTTAGAAAGAGGTGGGAAATGCACAAGACTATGAGTATATTCAAAACCACTCAGTCGCATACTTTAAAAATGGTTAATTTCATGCTGTGTGAATTTTACTTCAGTTTAAAAAAAAAAGTGTACCTAACGTATTCCACATGAGATAAAGTAAATCAATTTCCAAATGGAAAAAATGTCACCTATTCCCAAATAAAATATAACTCTCATCCATCAATGTTGCTTAAATTCTATATGCTTAGATGACAAACTTCGTCTCCATGCCTTACAGAATTTCTGACATTCTTACAAACTACAGAGGGAATCTTTCATCTGCCTCCTAAAACATCTTCAGATTCTACACTTTTATTTGGGCCTTGGTAATTTAACTAGCATATCACAGAGCCTTACCTTCTTTTCTGAGGATGGTCTAACTGCTGGGGCCCTTAAATACAAACCCATTCTTTGGGTAGAGTCCTGGCCTGGTCATTTGTGTGTACAAGTCCATCCTCGGTTGCATACTAAAATGCAAGTTAAAACAAACAGGATCAAAAGATGGACAAACTGTCACTACGGATGGTTAATACTTCAGCTAAATAGATCTACCAACAATAGCATAGGACGTAGAATGCAGGAAACACATAAACACTGGTATAAACCATAGACCTAAGTGTAACCTCCAAATCTTCATTTCTTACTTAACATACAAACACCATGAAAACCCTTCCTAGGGGCCAGCTGGTTAAGGTGCTGGATTCCCACACGGCTGACCGTGGTTTGAGACCCAGATTCAGAAGTTTGAAAACTACAACAAATACATACATACATAAATAAATGCTCTGAGGGAAAATAAAAACAAAACTCAAAAGGAGGAAAGTTAGATTGAGTCCATGGCTATATAAAAGAGCATCTGGGACTGGCAGGTGGGATGGTGGTTAAAGGTGCTGGATTCCCACATGGCTGACCAAGGTTGGAGTCCTGGACTGGGGAGCTTGCTTTGTCACTTACCCATTCTGTCTCTCTCTGATCAAATTTAAAAAATAATCTTAACAAATGGAATTAAATCAATAATTATTTCTTTTTAAAAAAAAAGCACCATACCACAATAACTCAGAAGATCAAACACTTCAGATATTACTAATAGCAGTTCCCATGATACCATAGCTATGATTAAACGTAATATAACTGAACACCAATTATTTACAAGGTGTTATACAATAAGCCCAATTCAATTTCTCCAAACTTACTGAACTTCAAATATTAGCTATTACTGCAATATTAATATAATTTTGTGTAATATGGAAAAAATCTCAGTAGTGAAAGATCCACGGAAACAGTGATTAAAATCAGTACTTTGAGGAGAAACAAGAGCTAGCACTTACAGAAAATACGAAGTCACTATAAAGAGAAATACAAACAGCAAATGAAAAAGTTAAAGGAATCATGTAAGGATATCTGGAGGCCTGTTTCAGAACAAAATGACCATCGACTAAAATATACATGCATGTTTATTTTATTGACTGGAATGATGTCCTTATTAAAACTTATTTTCATGGTAACCTGTTACAATAAACTTGGTTCTCAATCTATAAATCCCATTTATCAAAATGGGCCGGGACCAGCAGCTAGAGAAATGGCTATGTTGCTGGACTCCCATGTAGTTGACCTCAGTTCGCGACCCAGACCCAGTGGCTTAAAACTCATGCCAGGCGTGTGTGCATGCGTGCCCAAGGTCCTGAGAGGAGAATGGAGGAGAAGGGATTGCAGCTTGGCCATCCCCCCTGGGGGGGGTGATTTTTCGCTTTCTATCTCTCTGTCTCTGTCTGGCGAGCGCACGCGCCCTATAGCAAAAGCTTCTCCAAATAAATAAACAAATAAATAAAAGGGCCTAACTCAAGTACTTTAACTTTCTAAGTCTCAAGATTTAATAGCAAAAGCCATGCCCTATGTCTCGCTATAGCCTCCTTTTTATAAATTCTGGATCTTTGTGGCTTTACACCCTTCTTCTCAAATGAAGTAGGAAAACAAAGTTGGGACTTTTTTCTAGAAGGAATTTTGCTGAGCGTAGTGGAAAATCTATCCCAAAATTACATTTTTAAATAATGTGTTTAGGGCCGGCACACAGTGTGGTGCTTAAGGGACTGGACTCCCATATGGCCAACCATCATTCAAGTCCAAGACCTGGTGGCTTGCCTTCTCACTTTCCCTTTCTCCCTCTTTCTCTGGTGAGTGTATGTGTCCTATAACAAAATTTAAAATAATAATAATAATAATAATAATAATAAAATAACGTGCTTAGGGGCCAGCAGGTGGCATTGTGGTTAAAGGCACTGGGTTCTCACTTGCCAACCATGGTTTGAGTCCCAGACCTGGAGGCTCGCTTTCTCACTTTCCTTGTCTCTCTCTCTCTCTGGTCAAATTAAAAAAAAATAATAATAATAAATGGAATTAACTAACTAAATCTTTTTTTTAAAAAAAAATGACATGTTTATAAAATGACATGTCATTATTATATATAAATAGATGGACAGATAGATATCTATTCATATATTTAAAAGACCAAATCAGAGCCCATCAACAAATTGCATTTACTCAACCAATTATTTTTTTAAAGAATTATTTAATTTTTATTTATTCATTCACTTATTTTTAATTTGACCAGAGAGAGACACAGAGAGAGAGAGGGTGAGAAAGCAAGCCACCAGGTCCAGGACTCAAACCATGATTGGCCATGTGGGAGTATCCAGCGCCTTAACCACCACACCACCTGCTGTTCCCCATACTCAACCAATTATCACCTAGGTACTTGCTTAATCATATAAATAATTATGTAAAAGTAATTATATATAACCAAAAATAAAGTTAAATCCTCTCAAACCAGCAATGGTGATAAATACTCTGTGGGTAAAGATAAGCACGGAATACACATAAGTGAATGGTTAATGGAAAAAACCTCAATCACAGATTTTATCATCTCATATCAAAGCCAAATCTGGAAGCTAGTAACAAATGACTGTTACCTAAATAAATAAAACAGAAAATAAAACAAGTCATAAGGTAAGGGCTCTTAAAGACATTAGAGAGGCCAGCCAGTGGGATAGTGGTTAAGGCAACTAGGTTCCACGTGGCCAACTCTGCACTCTGAGTCCAGGACCCAGCAGCTTGAAAAACACACTGGGCGTACCCAAAACCCCAAAAGGAGAATAGAGAAGGGATTGCAGTGTGGCCATCATCCCTGAGAAGAGGCTTTCTCACTTTCCCTTTCTCTGTCTCTCCCCAGTGAGCACATATGCCCTATGAAGAAGAAAAGACAGTAGAATATGTGAGCTTTGAAATTAGAATGATCCAAAATTGGGTTTAGTATAAACATTTTGAATGCATGCATTGTTACCGTCTTGTAACTTGAATCACTAAAGGAAGATACCAGAATTTGACACATGGAATTGGATAAATTGAAATTCCTATATAATTCCAATTAATTGATTAGGTTCATAAATTCCAGGCACTATAGAAATGAAGTTCTAATATCTTGAGATGAAATAATTTTGCACAAGCTTTGTGCTTCTATTTATACCAGATAATTCTACTTCAGCCTTGAATGACTCTAGAAGTCATAATATTAAAATGAAAAACTGCTGAAGACAGATGTTCCGTCAATTTTCAAACAGCAATCTTTCAGTTATATTTCTAGAAATGTTCCCTATTACATGTTTATGGTAAAATAAATACTCACAAAAGCAGCCTCAACACTCTTCATTTTAAGAACAATCTTGCTTAATCTCATTACTATTTTATATGTAAAACTGCTTACTTCCATTTGGTGTGAACAAAAGTCAACACAAACTAAAAATGAACTAATTCATCTGATCACTAAAATCTGAAACTTTCTTTGGACTTTCTGTAATTGGAAAGGAAAATAAAAATGCAAAAATCAACATGTATCCTTTATGAGATTAAGCAACCTTTTCAATAAAGTCTCAGTAAAAATCTGTCCATTTTATAATCCTAAGGATCAGACATGAAGTTGGATAAGTAACTTTTTTACCACGCTGAAGGTCTTCAAAAGGCAGCATAAAATTGTTTAGGGAAGAATAAAGAATCTACTGACTGAATATGCTGAGCGAAGCAGTAACAAAAGATAACCTTTGCCTGCTGTCATTCAACTTTTCACTATCAGCCATAGATAGATAGATTTGACAGAAAAGGTCCTTTGCATGTTAAAAGCTCTTAAGACAATTGTCTGGGCCAGCAGGTAGCATGGTAATTAAGGTGCTGGACTCCCATGTGGCTGATCACAGTTTGAGTCCTGACCCTGTGGCTTAAAAATCACACTGTGCACATGTACCTATGTGCCCAAAATCCCAGGAGGAGAAAAGAGAAGGGACTGGAGTGTGGCCACCCCCTTTTAGGGGGGATTTCTAACTTTCCCTCTCTGTCTCTCTTGGGCAGTCGCTTACGTCCTATAGCATAAAACTTTAAACAAAACTAAACATAAAAATACACTTCTGGTAACTTAGTTCAATTGGGGCACATAGTATCATTACCACTTAGACCGTGTGAGCCGAGATCACAACCCTCCATGACTCAGGGACACCAAGCTCATAAACGCATTCTAATGGGGAAATCACCTCTGCAGTACCCCTTATACCTGTACTGCAAATGCCTGAGGGCTATTTTAGCATTTGACTATTATGCCTGGAACGGCTTTTCAACTCTTTATTTTAAAAATTTCTTACAGGACGTATGTACTAGACAGAGGGAGAGAAAGTGAGAAAGCAAATCACTAGGTCAGGGACTCGATCGTGGTCACCCATGTGGTAGTCCAGCACCTAACTATTATGTCACTGCCAGTCCTAACAGCTTTTCAACTCTTAAGGCTATTTTCAAACAAAGTTCAGCTTTAGCGGGAAAGAGGACAATTTTCGCTATTAGTGCAACTGAAAGACAAGTTACTTATTTTTAGACATCACAGGAAAGAGGGAATTCCGGCTTTACGTAATTATGTAGCTTAAGGAATGAAAGATGTTTACTCAGACGAGATGGCCATGAGGAGATGTTTGCTGTTAAAGAGCTCTTAACCAAAACAAACAAACAAACAAACAAACCCACTCATTCTATAGCTTAAGAGAGAGAATAGCTGATGGACACAGGCCATGGTAGAAAAATAAATTATAGGAGCAAATGTCAACTTCACTAGAATCAATCATTTTATGAAAGGTTTACTGAATATCTTTTTTTTTTATAAAAGAATTTTTTATTTATTCAATTCTATTTGCTATTATTTATTAATTGACCAGAGAGAGAAAGAGATAAAGGGAAAGGGAGAAAGGAAGCCACCAGGTACAGGACTCAAACTGTGGTTGGCCATGTGGGAGTCCAGCGCCTCTAACCACAGGACACCTGCCGGCCCCCTTACTGAATATCTTAGAGTTCATTTTAAGGTGTTACTATCTAGACTGGAGTCTCCTATGCATTAGGCGATGTTTATTCCCTCCTAATTTAGACAGAGGTCACTGAACAATTCTTAAATATTCAACTTTAAACTATATGTTTAAGTACATTAAAAAAATAAAAAGTCAAAGATCTGACACTTTTTTTGAGGAAGATTCCTTCTGAGCCAGTTCCGTTCCAGATGAAAACATACTACTGTGTGCTTTATTTATTTATTTATTTATTTGGAAAGGTTTTTTTTGCTATAGGGTGCGTGGGCTCGCCAGACAGAGAGAGACATAGAGACAGAAAGTGAGAAATCACCCCCCAGGGGAGATGGTCACGCCGCAATCCCTCCTCCTCCATTCTCCTCTCAGGATCTTGGGCACGCATGCACAAGCGCCTGGCGTGAGTTCTAAGCCACCGGTCCGGAACGCAAACCGCGGTCCACTACGTGGAGTCCAGCGACATAGCCATTATGCTAACTGCTGGTTCCCTACTGTGTGCTTTAAAGAGCTTTCCCAACGTAGCTCGGTTTTTGAAAAAAGCATCAAGAGATGAAGTTGAAAGAAATAAGAATTCACAGGAAACCCTAATCTTGTCAAGGAAATGAGTTTGAAGTTAGTCTCCCTCACATTGATTCTGATCTATCTGCTTCCATGACTAAGTCAATTAAAACATGCACATACATATTTTTTTTTTTTATAGTCTGTTTCTTTCCTGGCTGCATTCTTGAGGAAAATCAACTTAAGTAATAAGGGCACTGAGGATTTTTCTTCTTCAAGCTACTGACCTGGTAACCTTGGAAGAAGTTAAGAATTTCCTTAACTCCAGTATTGTAGGCCAGGCCCTGCATTCTGACCACCGTGCCAGGCTGCGGAGGGACACCGCTAAGATTAGCAGCTGTAGGGAAGTAGCCAAGACTATTAGGCGAACCTGGGGGGCTAAAGGGAGAGAAAGCACAGTGAACCAACAGGAATAGACAATGCCAAATACTTATTCTAAAAACATTAGTTACTTAGGAAACACATTCTCCAGGGACTCTTTCTTACACTTCACAGCGCTATCTTTCCAGAGACAGGGAAGAACACCAGTGCAGTTTGGCCTCACATTTCTGCAAAAGCCGGAAGTTGAAAGGTGGGTTAAAGCAGAGTTAAATGCAGGGATTCTCCCAAACCTTTCTGAGATTCTTAAAGGAAAAGGAAGCAGAGAAATGCCTTCACAGTCACTCAATCACACCACCTCCAAAGCCCAGCTGGTTAACTGGTAGTTATCAGGAATACTAAAGCATGGAAAGGCATGAATACAAAAGACTAAAAGAAACCATCGCCACAGTACGAAGAGTATCCAAAATGCCTGCTCAAAAGAACGGACAGTTCTAAACATACATACAAGTAAATGTACCGTAGTGATACAGCAAAGGCAAAGGACTATAGCAAGCAAGAGTTCTTTCTTACAGCCTGATTTTGAAAGATGAGGGTGGGAGGAGTTGGAAGGGATCCCTAACATATTAGACTGATCACCATTAACATGAGAGGAAGATTAATAAGTGGGTTCTCCTGTTGTATCTGTAGCCATTACCTCCAAAGAGTGCAAGAGCTAAATTTATGTAGCAATTCAAGTAAGTGATTACCATATTAGCTCCAACAATTATTTTACCAGTTAGTTCACTACTTAGTTTCACTGTTCCCCACACAATCTGTTTTCTATCATAACTGGTGGCCAGTTACCCATAGTTAAAAATACAATATAAAGAAACTTTTTCAAGGAACCGGCAGTTAGCATAATGGCTATGTCGCTGGACTGTAGTTGACCACAGTTCAAGTCCTGGACGTGGTGACTTAAACTCACGCTGGGTGCATGTGCGTGTGTGCCCAAGATCCTGAGGAGAGGAAAATGGAGGAGAAGGGATTGCGGCGTGGCCATCCCCCTGAGGGGGATGATTTCTCGCTTTCTGTCTCTCTGTCTCTCTCTTCTTTCTGGAAAGCACATGTGCCTTATAGCAAAAACCTCTCCAAAAAAAAAGAAAAAAGAAACTTTTTCAAGTCACTGAATTAAGGAAGGGTATAAACTCTAAACCTAGATTATTAGCCTTTATCATTTAAGTACGTAATGATTCTGTTTCACAGACAAGTAAACTTATTATGAAAGGGAATAAAAATCTTTAAGACTGTCATTCGTACACAAGCCTAACAGATAGACTAGTAGGAATGGTACAAGATGTGCTGCTAGTTCTAACTTCCTCCTCTAGCACATTAACCTTCAGCATGCCACTTAATTTCTCTTTATCGACATGCATGGCATCCCCTTTTGAAAAAGCAATGTAATAAAGTGTAAAGTTATATGTAATCCAATGTAATATAAAGAAGATTATGATGATAGTAAAAAAACAAAATGCCAAAAAAATATTTCTTCATTTGTTAAATGGGGATGATTAGTATTGGGTCGTCAGAAGTTATGCTGCATTTCTGCATAGAAAAACAGAAAAAATATGGCATGACTTTTCTGATAACTCAGTATCTTCACAGACTTAGTCTTTGGATTCAATGCTTTAACATGCCAAATTACTGCATAAACCATAAAATTATAACATTCTGGCTATTTCCATAACCAAAATACTATTTCATCATTTAAAAAGTAATGTGAGCCTGAAAACATTATCTGAATTAAATTGCCCTTAATCTTTAAAGCAGTGACCCTGAATATTTCTTGCAAATAAGAATCTCTTGGGGAAATTTTTATAACTCTGATGAGAACCTTCCCAATAAATTATAAATCAGAAAACCAAGAGGGCCAAACCCTCTTGATGGCCAAGAGGGCCAAACCCCAGATGGTAGCATATCTGTCTGACTGTCCTTCGATCTATTAATATCTATCCATCCATAGCTGTTTTTTCAGATTTTTGCTATAGGGTATGGTGCTTGCTGGAGAGATGCAGAGTGTGATCGAGAGAGAGGAAAAGTGAAAAATCAACACCCACACCCCTAACCCAGAGGTAATGGTCACACTTCAATATCTTCTCCATTCTTCTCTTGGGATAAGCATGCATATGCACCTGGTGTGATTTACAAGCTTCTGGGTCTGGGATTTGAACCACAGAGTCAGCTATGTAGGATCCAGTACCTTAACCACCACACCATCTGCTGGCCCCATATATCAATATATTTTAAAGGTCTCCATGTGATCCCAATGTAAACCAAATCAGAAAGTACTATTTAGAGACTCCAAGCTGAACTTAATTACAACTTTGAGAACAGAGATGAAGAGATTGCTGAACTTTTGGTCTGTATAGATACCATTCAGCCACAACCCCTTATTTTAATAAAGGAAGAAACAGAAACTAAGAGTTATCTAAGTTATACCCTAATTGGCCATAAAACGAGTTAGTTCTTAGTCAAATGAGAAACACCCAGATTTCTCAAATTCAACTTTAACACTTTCCTCATATACAACCATCAATCAGTAAAGATCATATTTGTTCATGTCAAATACCTGAGAAATATTAAACCTAATACTCAAAGGTCATTAAGACCTTTTCACCTATTTCATTACTAGTTACTCAAATTTTTCTTTTCTTTTTTTTTTTGAGAGTTTTTTTTTTGCTATTGGGCGGTGCACTCGCCAGACAGAGAGAGACATAGAGACAGAAAGTGAGAAATCACCCCCCTAGGGGGGATGATCACACCGCAATCCCTTCTCCTCCATTCTCCTCTTGGGATCTTGAGCACGCACGCACACGCGCCAGGCCTGAGTTTTTAGCCACCAGGTCCAGGACGCAAACCGCGGTCGACTATGTAGGAGTCCAGTGAAATAGCCATTACGCTAACTGCTGGTCCCAAGCACAGCTTCTTATCAGAGCATGCCACCTGGGCTGGCCTAAGAATAAATTTAAAGATCAATATGAACACTGTTTAATCGAAAAGAAATATATAATAACCTTACAAGTGTAAGGGTTTTTTGTTGTTTCTCTCTCTCTCTCTCTTTTTTTTTTTTTTTAGATTTTTGCTATAGGCCATATACACTCACTATAGAGACAAAGACACAAAGTGAGAAATTACCCCTCAGGAAGATGGCCATGCCACAATCCCTTCTCCTCCATTCTCCTCTAGAGGCTTTGGGCACGCAAACACATATGCCCAAGAGTATTTTAAATCACCTGGTTCAGGACTTGAACTGTGGTTGGCTACATGGGAGTCCACCAATATAACCATTACATCATCTGCTGGTCCCAAAAGTATAGATTTTTAAGAAGAAAGGAACTCTTAAATTATGATGTGCTTTTACATATTATGACATGATGAAGCTCTAACAATAAAGCATACATATAAATCATAAGGGGGAAAGTAAATGACATACTGGCAATTAAAAAAAGGAACAAGTGGACAGTGTATATTAAGTAACCCACAGTATTTAAAGCACACACATTGCAGCCAACAGGCAGTGTGGTGGTTAAAGCGCTGGATTACCACATGGCTGAATGCAGTTTGAGTCCCAGACCTAGTGACTTGTTTTCTCACTTTCAATTTCTTTCTCTCTGGTCACACTAAAAAATAATAACAAATAAAATTGGGGCCAGCAGGAGGCATGGTGGTGAGGTGGTTCAAGTCCTAGATCTAGAGTCTTACTTCCTCACTTTCGGTCTCTCTCTCTGGTGAGTGCATGTGCCTAATAGAGAATTTAAAAATAATAATAATCAATAAATTTTAAAAAATAATTTAAAAACCCTTCATATATATTTTTTAAAAAGCACACACATTTGTGTACATTATCAAACTGATAACCATGGTGACTTCTGGTTAGTTTCTGGTATCCATCTGCCTTAACCATCATGCCACTAAGTAGCCCTATGAGTTTTGGGTTTTTTTCCAAGGATTTTTTTTTTTTCTTAACAAAATTGGAATCACAGTCTAATAAAAAAATAACTTATCATAGACATTTGGAAAAACTCAATTAGAGAGAATATATATCTATTACTCAATTTCAGTAATGTTCAGTAAAAAGAGAGTCTTAACTTCCCACTCACTGAAATTCTTTCTACATTCTTGACTTAATGAACACGTGATTAACTTTAAGACTTCCAGGAGAAAAAAAATTAACCTATAGGCAGGGGTCCATATTTAAGAGTTATTTAGTAAGAAATGTCAGTTGCTCTTACTTCAATGCAAGATTCCTGGTCTTACTTGTAAGATCTTCCTTCTTGTCACAGTGCCCAGAGAGTGATTCAGAGATGCTTAGCAAGTATACCTTAGGCTCGAGAACCACACCAGGCATTCAGAGGCACAACGCATTCCACGCCTCACATTCTGATGATGCAAGAAAGGTAGACAAAGACTATCCTTGTAACTAGAGCTCAACGGCAGCTAGCCATTGTCACAGGGTCTAGAGAAGGTGACAGACTGGGGTTGAGCTAAGTGCCTGGGATGGCACTCAACCATGAACGGTTAGTTATTCTTACCTCTGAAACTTCTCAAGCCTTCAAAACACAGCTAGCTGACAACGATCATGACTTTATCTACTCTACTTCCCCAGAACAGAATATTTTTAATAGCATTAATGTTTTAAAAACTCCTACCAAAATCAATGTAGTTAAATTGGCTAAAAATAACACTGATAATAGGACACTCCAAAATTCATGCTAGCCTCTCTACTGGGAAAGCCTATCCTGGAAGAGAAAGCAAAAGAGTGCAACAAAGCAACAGCAAAGATCATACAGGTTAGTTAGCCAACATTTGCCAAAAGCCCACACTTAATTAAATATTTATGGATTGACTCAAAACATTTAGTCCGAATAGCTTGGGAAGAAAACCCAAAACTTTATATACATGGAGTTGCTTTTTAATGTTAAATAAATATTTTTTTTTTAAAAAGAGCAATAAGACTTATATCAAAAAATATGATAAAATAAACTAGCAACTGGCTAAACAAACATTATTCTTCCTCTTCT